TTTTTTAAGATACCAGCTTTATCTGAGGTAATTTGCCTTCATCCTGAAGAATTTATTTTGCCATTTCTTATACTTAAGTCTGCTGACAATAGATTCTTTTATTTTTCTTTTATCTGAAAGTTTCTTTATTTTGCTTTTGATCTTGAATAAATTCAAGTTGACAGTGGTGATGTTTTTGTTTTTGTGGGTTTTTTGCTTGTTTTTTTTTTTAGCACTTTAAAGATTTTTAAGACTTGCTCTTCATATTTTCCTCCATAGGGCTTCTTTGAATTAATTCTGTTTGGTATTCATTTTAGCTCTTACATCTAAAATGTCTGTTTTTTATTAGATTTAGGAAATTTTGAAGGGTTGTTTCTTCAGATATTTTTTGTGTCCCTTTCTTTCTCTTCTCTCCTTGTGATATTACAGTTAAACATACTTGATGTTTTTATATCATCTAACCAGCCTCTGAGGCTCTGTTCATGATCCTCAATGTTGTTCTCTGCATTTTACCATAGATAATATCTATTGATCAATCTTCAAGTTTGCTTATTCTTTCTTCAGTCATATCCAATCAGCTGTTAACTACATCCATTCTATTATTTCAGAAATTGTCATTTTGCATTCTAGAACTTTCTTATTTGATGTTTTTATTTATATGCTTATCACTCCTCATCTAAGACTTTCACTCATTTAAAAAAACATATTTTGCTTTACTTAGAGGATAAACTTCGGTAAAATACTTATGTTAGTTTCAGCATCTGGTTCATCTTGTCATCTAATATAATTGATTTTGTCTTGAAAAGTTTTTTTTTTTTTAATTTTCATAGTTCTTGATTGATTAGGTAACTTCGGACTGTATCCTGGACACTGTGAATGTTAAGTGGAGATTTTGGATTCTGGTTGTTTTTTCTCCAATTAGTGTTGTTTTCCTCCTTTTATCAGGTAATTCCTTGGCTGGGCTTGAACTGAAAACTCCATGTATTGAGCATCTGTGATATTTTAACTTTATCCGAGTTGCTTAAGCTGCCGAGTCTGTTCTGCATATGTATGGTTTAGGTGTCAGAGATGTGACAGAATCTAGTTTGGGAAACTTTTCTCTGGTTCATTTGTTTCCAGAATTTTCCCATCTATTTTCAGTATTTGTGATTTTTTGACTTTACTTTTCTGGTCTTCTATCCCAAAGACTGTGAATTTATCCACATGAGTACTGCATAAGCTGCACTGAGTGCCAAGGGACAAAAACCACGAGAATGAGAACTTGGTATTTCTTCCTGCTTTTCCTTCCCCAAGTGATTATTCATTCCCTACAAGGATGAGTCTGTTTCTCTTCACTCTACATCACCTTCAGGAAGGTGTTTTGCTTTTCTTTATTTTGTCCACATTTAAGGGTTTTTGTTGTTGTTGTTGTTGTGGCAGGGATGTTGTCTGGTAGGGTTTTAGTCCATCATACCCAGAATTTATTTTTTAACCCATTTATAACACATATGCATGTCTTCATCCCACACTAGGTATGACATACATAAAGTGCAGACATTTTCAGAGTTTGACACTATCTGTAATCACTACTCAGATCAAGATACAGAACATTTCCAATACCCTGGAATGTTCCTTCATGCCCTTTTCCTGTCAACAGCACCACCACCATCCCCAAAAGTTACCGTATTTTGTATTCTCCCTTCGTAGATTAACTTTGTCTGTTCTTGAACTTCACATATCTTGTCTGGTTTATTTGATCATCATTATGTCTGTAAAATAAATTCATCTATGTTGTGTGTTGTAGTACTTTGAGGGGGAAGATTTCTGTGTGTTATTCCATGCATTAATGCAATCTATGTCTCCATTTTGTCTTATGACAATGGCTATTTCTTTAAAAATTAAGCCAGGTTATGCTGTTCTGATGGTAATAGAAGAAACGTAAACATGGCTTAATACTATGCAGATAGCTACTGAATATAAGTATCACTTTAAAATTTTCTAGACAGGTTTATAAAATAATGAGGCCTCAATGCATCTCCAAATTCTTTTTAATTTTTATTAAAGCTAATTACATTATTGTTAGCTAAATGCTTATTTAACATATATATTTATGTTTTAAGTGATCAATATCGCAGTAGAGTTATAGGCCATGTAATTGCACTATATTTTATGTATGAAGCACTTTATTGCTTAGATAATCAATTCAGAAAATCATGCATGGCCCATTGTATAAAATTAAGCCTTTTTTTATGCAAAATAATACATGTTTTAATATTTGGTGTATTTTTGCTTTTATAACTTATTATTGATATTATCTTTCATTTATTTTACTTTAAATTTTCACTCCGAAACAATGTTTCATTATGTTACTATTATATTATTTCTAAGAAAGTATATTATCAAATTTATAACATACTAAGAACACTTTGCTATGAGTCATTAATAATAAGTGGATAAATAGCAGAGGGAGAAGTGCATCGCAGGCATAAGGACTCAAACAAACAAAACAAAGTATAAAAAAAAAGAACAGGTAACCTAGTAGACCCCTGCATATGTGGGCGAAGGCAAGTGATATTATGGACTGAATCACTGAATATATGGAAGGGTAAGAAGGAGGTTGTTGAATTGTTAAAAAATGATCATCATTCATTGTACTCCTTGCACTCCCAGTAAAGGACAAGTTAAGATATAAGACACAGAATCCTCACAGGAGATTATAATATCAGCTTTAATACTGATGAAGTTAACCAGAGGTCTCAACTTAGATTTGCAGCCACAGTGGGATTTTCTAATTCCCTCACTGTTTTCTCCGGATACGTCTAATGAACCCAACACAAGGAGACATGAGCAATATCAGACCTTTCCAACCCAGCAGGCTAGCAGGGTATATGAAAGGATACAAATGCTACTCCAGAGAACAAGCCAGTCCTAAAAAGATAACCCAGTGGAGACTGGGCCATTCATCTCCAGTTCGGTCTTCCAGCTTCAGCAATTAGTGATAAGTCACTGCTCTCTCTTAAGGAGGAGAGCAGAGATAAGAATAAAGACGATAATTTCTCCCAATTTTTTACTCTGTTAGGATATTGAAGATAGGTGCCAATTTAAGAGAAATTATATGCTTTTGGCCAGAGAGAATTGGCCCATTTAGAAAGAGGGGGAAATCATTTTCCCAAATCAGGTTTCTGCTTGAGAAAAAACATATCATTGCTTATCTCACATAAGCACACAGTTGCATGTTAAATTCTTGCTTCCAAAGTCTCATAAATATAACTGAGAACTGTTTCACTGCTGAAATATTGATTTTTCAAAATATCTCAAAAAAGTAACTAGAAAATGTAAAAAGAGCAGTCTCTCAAAGACTATTTCCCCTTCAGCCCAGATGCTTCCCTATACTGGTTGGTGACCTGCCTTGCTTCTGGGGATCCAGACCATTCTGTGCAATCGTTGGGTAAACAAACAAATTATAAACTGTTTTAGAAGTTTGTTTTCCCACACCATATGTAACTTCGAGAAGAAAAAGCCTAGGTGTTGTTCTGGAACAACTCACCAGCTCTCGCTTCTTGCAATAGCATTCTTAAATTCAAAGAAGTAAAAGGGCACTTCATGCTGCCATTTGTGTGAGGAAAGAGGGACCAAAAGACGATTAGCAGCGGTTCTAGAAAACAGATCCCACTGCCCAATAGCTAGGCCTTCCGGTGCAAAAATGTCCAGGGAAAGACAAACTTATATGATTTGATTAGGCAGAGCGAACAGGAACTATTTTCAAAGTATGTGTAGGATGTAGGAAAATTACAAGAGCTTGTGCAGCATCCCAGGACTAGTAAAGGAGGCACCATTACCACATGTAGGCTGAAGTGGCAAGGAGAGCTGTGTAGGAGGGGCTCTTGGCGTGCTTGTGACTCCTGGTAGATGGATGCAGTCTACAGCACTCCTGCAGGGAAAGACCAGGGAAATATACCTGCTGGCTCACTCTCCTCTTCCTCTGCATTGCTTGCAAAGACAAAGGGCAAGAATCTGCTGATGCAGTCCAAATCAGCCAGAACCCCAGGGGTCAGAGCAGGATGGATAAGTGCAGAGAATGTATTTGGAAGGGGAAGTGGAGGATAATCAGCATAGTCAGAAATACAACCCTACAAATGAGGCACAAATGGATAAAAAGAACAAAATAATAAAGTGTAAGCCACCCAAATATCTTGTGGTTATTGGACAGGAGGTCTGGGAGCAGCAAGAAGACATTCAAGTTCTCCAGGAGGGTGGGTGTCTGCTGAAAACTGTTTATTTTTTAGGGGGGTCAGAAATGGAATAGGAAGAGGGTAAAAGTGGAGCAGAGTCAGTGGTTCTATCTCTAAATGTCTGGGAAGACCAAAGGCTGAGGAAGTTAGGATATCAATAATAGCAAAACAGACCTCTTCTCGTCCATTCCAAGAGAGAATAAGTAATTCACAATTAACAAAATCAAAATTTTACTCAATAAAACATCAGAATAAAAAATGGATATGCTCTATTATGAATTTTGTTTGTGATCAAGAATTCAGAGCAGAAAATATATCCAGAAGACTGCTCAGGAGACAAATAGCAAATGACCGATTCAGATGCAACGCTTCTCTCCTTAATGTCACATCAGTAACATAGAACACCTCTGCCAGTTGGAAGGTATACCAGATACTTGTCAGTGTTCCACCCACATGCCCTGAAATCCTGTTCTCATTTTGATGCACAACAGCTTCAAGTGAACTTTCACAAACTCCCAACAGCCAGCATCTACCTTTATTTGCCAGAGAGCTTCACTTAGGATGTCAGAGCCCACATTCCTGCTCAGGAGATCCTAGAGAGCCTGAAAACTCATTTCTCCTAGAGCATCCCTGAACCCATAACTGACATGTGTCAAAGCAAAAATACTCCTGTTGCCTGGTCCCTACCCAGGACAATTCTGACGCATGTCACACAGTGTCTTCAAAGACTCCATGCAGGTTTGAGCCAAAGTTACCCATTGTCAAAATTTGCTTGATATTGCACACTTTCTCAGTCTTCTTTAGACTCACTTCTGCATTCCTCTACTGGATCTCCCTGGAATACCTCCAAAGAAATCACTTTAACATGAGTCTTCATCTTAGGGTCTTCTGGTGAACTCTATCCACAACTGAAGGAAAGGAAACCGAATGAAGAGCGTGGGAGAAGATTGCACCTAGAGGAAAGGGAATGAAAAAAACAACTGAGAAAAATTTTTTTAACTATCTGTTTTTTGAAGGAAAATGTTTATAATTCAGAACATGAAAAAATTCAATAACAAAATTCACTGTATATATCAGTAAATCTTCAACTCACAGGAAAAATTTCAGCATTCTCATCTCAGGAAATGAACTGTTGGGGAGTCAGCCCAGCATGGCTGCCACTAATTGTAGAAGACAATGGTGTAGTCAGTGATTCTAAGAGGGTGATTCCCAAAATAATAGCAGAAGCATCACCCAGGATCTTCTTAGAAATAAAAATTATGGAGCCTATCATAGACCTACTGAATCAGAAACTCTGTGAATGGGCCCAGAATCTGCATTTCTGCAGGCTCTCCAAGTGACTCAGATACATACTTAAATTTAAGACCACTGGTGTAGTTCTCAGTCCCAGGAAGTGAACTGAGGTACATGTATCTACTTGAACCAAAGAAAAATAAAACTTTTGGATTTGCCAAAGGAGAGATAAAATTGAGGATGGTGAAAAGAATAGTATGTCAGAAATGAAGATGGTCAGTCATAATGCTCCTGACTACAAAACCCACCAACTTGTGAAACAGGTGCTGATAAAGAAGAGTTTGATGAAAAGAGGTGTACTACACACTCAGTGTTTGATGATGCTATGGCCACAGAAAAACAGACTGACCATTACCTCTGGGTGGGCCATGACATTATCCATACCTACCCCAGTGAAAACCAAATACTGGCAGAGAACAGACTTGAGGGACACAAGTCCCGTTGTGATCCAGGTCACAAGTATTAAAACAGAGGGTTCACTAATAAAAAAGCAGCGGAAGAAAAAAACGGAATCTCGCACTTGAAATTAGTGTTGGTGCTCCTCTCTGATATAGAGTTTATTATCATTTTAATGTAAATGACAAAGGAGTAATAGATCTAAGAACAAGCTGAAGAAGAGCTCATCATGATGTTAAGGAGAGAATTCAGCCCAGTTAAAGTTACCACGCTCTAAATATAAAAAGAGTTTGAACCAGAGTTCTTGTTCATTTGTGAAACAAATGAAAATAAAGTAGTCTCTCTTGAGACATTTCCCACTGCTATTCCCTTCTTGAGAGTCATCTCTGCATATAGGAGAGAAGAACTTTTTTATGGACCAAACCAAACTCATGATTCCAAAATAAGAACTTATGTGCTGTAACAGGAAAATGACCAGCCTTAATACAGAGAAGATGAGCAATGAGGAATGTCTATTCTTTCTGCACTTATCTGTGCCCTTCCCATATGAGTACACTCCAAGTTTTGAAAAATACCCTGATATAGTCAGCTCCTTTGGTAGGTCAGTAATTCAGGCTTAGTTATACAAGGGTGCACACAGGGAACCCATTACTCACAGCAAAGGAGAGGAAGCAGTATCTCAGAGAGGTTCAGTAACTGCCCAGTTGCTCAGGATTACAACTTGAATCAGGGATAAAAAGTGGCAAGAGACCAAAACACATAATGATCTCTACCTCCATTGCTTCAGTCACCCCCAACCCCAGAACACAATTAAGGGAGAAGGAGGCGGTTCTCAAAAAAAAGTTTTCAGGCCTCTCTTAGAAAGAAGGACATAAAGAGACACAGGATGCCTCCATGAACCACACTTCCTTGTTCAACTTAGGGTGAGTCGTGCAGAGTCTTATAGCCCCTGCTGCAAGGAAGATGGCTTGGATGGTACCGGTAGGGGTGGAGGGCTTAAGTATATATACTTTTTTTTTCTGTAATGGCAGGAAAATTGAAGTCTACATTATCTTGGAATCAGTTCTGATCCAAAAACCACAATTTCAAATCAAGTCTGTGCCCAAATATTCCTCTCCAATTGAAGAAAGAAAACATCATCCATCAATGACACTAGGACTATAAGATGACATTTTAAAGTGGGTTTCTTCTACATGTGTATAGATCAGAAATCTGACTAGAAAGCCAAAGAAACTTCCCTCAGAGACTCTCCTAGGGGAGTTTTCTAATAAACAAGAAAATGTAACTTTTACACATAGAATTTTTTTTTTTACTTCTGCACAGAAGTTTACTTTCAACAAGAACTTCTTATTCCTACGTTGCTCATCTTCTCTGTGTTAAGGCTAATTATTTTCCTGTTACAACATCAATTCTCATTTTGGAGTCATGAATTCAGTTTGGTCCATAAAAAGCTCTCTTTCATGAGACCTGAATAGAGTGCAGGGCTGACTCTAAGTGGAAATCTCTACACTGGCTTCTGGAAAGGGTGACAAATATGCACGAACACAATTTGGGAGTCAGCCAATTAATTAGGGTCCTAATATGCTCAATATGGCAAAGCCCCTCATTATATTACCTTTTTCAGTAAAATTATCTAGAAACTTTCAAAGTTATCAAAGATTTTGTGTATCAAAATAACAATGGAAGCTGCCCCAAAAGGACTTGAAACCTGTGCGTGATGGAGAGAGGAAAAAAGTAAATGTCATGTTACCATTGGTTCTACGGAAGCAGCAATGTGCTGTGTAGAGACAGCAGGGAAGAATCACACATAACCATGGTGACATTTTTCTAAAGATACTTCACTTTTGGAGGCAAGAATCAGTACATATTCTCTATTATTTTGGCTAAAGCAGAAGTTCACTATATGAATGATTCATACTTTTTATTCAATAACTATTCCATAATTCCATAATTTCTGTATTTGGAAAAGAATATAAAAATTAAATTATACTATAAAAAGTTTTGCTATAAAAAGTTTTCTTCAAAACATGGTGTTCATTGAATGATGATGCAACTTTTCTAGAGCTTACGCTCTTAAATAATGCTACATATTTTTTCCCATAGAAATGAAAAGTGTTTCAAAATCGGAGTGGACATAACACTTTTAAATCAGTGTTATTGTAAATCTGACCTACTATTTAAATCAGGTCAGACAATCACTAATACACTCTCCATTTCCATAACTTTATCATATCAAGAATGTTACATAAATATAACCATACAGAATTTAATCTTTGAGGTTGGCTTTTTCCATGCAGCATAATTCTTTTGCAATTTTCTCAGTTGTGTGTATCAGTAATTCGTTCCTTTCTAAAAGAGGGAGATGTGGCTATATAAAGGCAACAGGCAGCAGGAGGGATCCTTGTGGTGATGAAACAGTTCTGTATCTTGACTTTTGATACCAATATTCTGGCCATGATATTGTACCATAATTTTGCAAGATGTTACCACTGGGAAAAACTGAGTAAAGGGTATGGGATCTCTGTAGTGTTTCTTTGCAGTTACATGTGAATCTGTAATTATATCAAAATAAAAAGTTTAATAATAAATAAATGAATTCAGGTAAGACAGAGTAACACCTTCTACCTGGTGGCTTCATGCCTAAATGTCAAGACAAGAGCTAAATGTGTGACTCAAGAATGTCCTAAAAATTAGACATGAAGTTCTCAACAGCATGAAAAAGTCAGACATATATATACAAATAATATATGTATATTAAATAATCTATGTATAATAAATCATATACACAAATAACAAGAAGATCTAGTGAAAGATATAGCTCATTACAATAGACAAAAACAAACTAAAATTTCCAAGCATGAACCTAATAAGAAATATGCAAAATATAGGTGGGGAAAGTCAGAAAACACTCAAAAAAATACTGATATAGACCCTCCAAAAATGGGAAGATATATTACAGTTCATGATTGGAAGCCTCAAGATCCAAAGATATCAGTTCTCCTTAAGTTTACTGGTAAGTTTAAGATGCAATCTTAAATACATGTATGCAGCAAATATGCCTTCAGGTTTTTTTCTCAGAGCAAGACAGATTAATTATAAGATTATGCTTAAATATGAATTGACAGCAAAACCCCCCCAAAAAGGAACAATATGTTTGGGAAGCTGACTTCAATATGTGAGAACATTACGAAACTCTGTTAAAGCAGTGTAGTATTGGCTTATGGATAGACTAATGGAACAAAATGGAAAAACAAAGAAATTTAGTATGCAATAAAGGTGGGAGCTCAAAAGTAGAAAAAAAGAAATTTTTTAATAAATGGTGATAAAACAACAGGATAGCCTTAGGAAAAAGATAAAATTAGATCAAGTCTTCACATAATACACTGGTACAATGTCTAAATAGATCAGACACTCAAATGTAAAAGAATGAAATCATACAAATATGAAAAATGGGTGAATCCTTCATAGCATAAGAGGAGATAAAACATTTCTAATTGTGATAAAACACCAGAAATAATAAAGGATTTATAAATTGAATGAAAAACAAAAATTTGTATATCATAAGAAAGAACAAAAGCGAAATCACAAATTGAGGGGGAAAAAAATGCAACTTACACCTCAGACAAAAAGCTAATATTCTTAATATACGGTCCTCTAAAAACTGAGACGATCAAAATTCCAATAGAAAAGTGAGGAAAGGAGTGACAAAATAGTTCATATAAAAATATTGACCAGGCTCGGTGTAATTCCAGCTCGGTGTAATCCCAGCCTGTAATCCCAGCACTTTGGGAGGCTGAGGTGAGTGGATTGCCTGAGCCTGCAGGTTTGAGACCTACCCAGGCAACTTGGCGAGACCTCGTCTCTACAATAAATCAAAAATTTACTGGACATGGTAGCGCGCGCCTATAGCTCCAGCTACCTGGAAGGCTGAGGTGGAAGGATCACCGGAGCCCAGCAGGTCGAGGCTGCAGTGGCCAAGGCTGCGGTGGCCGAGAGCGTGCCACTGCACTCCAGTCTGGGCAACAGAGTGAGATTCCAACTCAAAAAATATATGTATACATACATATATATATATATATATATATATATATATATATATATATATACACATACATATATATGTATGTATATATATTTATTTATTAAATACATAAAACATCAATAACCTTTCTTATAATCAAAGAAATGCAAAATACAATAACACAAAAACTGTTTCTCACCT